AGGCCCCTCCCAGCCCTGACATCCCCTGTTCTGAGGCCCCTCCCAGCTCTGACATTCTGTGTTTTAACCTTCTAAGTTCTAAGCCTTGACACTCTGTGCTCTAAAGTATCATCCAGCTATAACATTCTATGTTGTATGTTCTAACATTTCATGCTCTGAGGCCCCTTCTAGCTCCAACATTCTGTGTTCTAACATTCTAAGTTCTCAGGTCCCTTCCAACTCTGATATTCCAAGTTCAGGGTTCTCACACTTACATTCTGTGTCTTCCAACTCTAGCATTCTGCAAGCCTATGAACAAACAACTTTGCCGACCTCTGGCGTCTAGCCTAGCCTTTCTCCGCCCTGCTTCCCTGGGTCCCCTTGGTCCTCTGAAGACCCCTGCATCTTCCTTTTTGCAGCGCTCCCCTTTTCCTCCCCATTCCAGTGAGCCCTCCCTCTGTGTGTGTGTTCCTCCTGCAGATCGCTGGTCCGTAGTGGTGCCCCGGGTTGTTGAGCTGAACAAGAATACCCAGTCGGAGGATGTGGTAGTGCCACTGGATCATGTGGGCACTTCTTCTGCCCCTGCTCAGAGACAGAGCTACCCTCATCACTGGAGGACAGAAGATGCCCCACTCTAGTGGGGCCCTGGGAGCCTTGAGGGGGGGCCCAGCCAGGAACTCAAGCATCTGCTGCGGCCAGTTGGCATGGAAAGGCCACAAGCCTAACCTGTTGGCTCCTGCTAGCCATAGCTTTTCTCCTGGATTGTCTGCCTCTTGGCACCTTCTCTGTGCCGGCCCAGGGTTCGCCAGCATTTCCAAGGGAAGCTCCCACTGGTGGCTTCCTGGGTTTCCTGGCCCTGAATAAGCCTTGTGTTGACGCCAAAGATGCCCAGATGAAGAGAGGCCCAGCCATGCCCTGCATTGGAGGGAGGGGGTGTGTCAGAGTTAAGTGGTGTCATCTCTGGCAGAGCCAGCTGGGGGCCATGTGCAAGGTCATATCACGGTACGGTGAAAAGAAAGCTGGATTTGGGGAATGTGGGTTTGCTCCCTGGCTCTGGTATTTTCTATCTGTGTGACCTTGGGCAAGTCATTTCCCATCCTTAGGTTCTTCTTCTGTAAAATAAGGGGGTTGGGCTAAATGACCTCTGAGGTCCCTTCCAGCTGTAAACCCGATGAGCCTATGACCCTCTCTTGTTCACTTATGAACCCTGACCCATGTTCACACTCCCACTAGACCCTGGGCACAGCAGGTAAGGTCAGGCAAAGAAAAGAAGGTGAATGGTTTTAAGTAGGGGTCAGAGACGAAAGGCTCTCATCTCAGCCCCTTGGGTCCTGGAAGAGACCACCCTCAGCCTCCTTTCACTCCCATGGAGTTATACAGGTCAGTATGGTGTGGCCAGTGGAGAAGGGGCACCTTGTTCCCCAGTCAGCTACAAGGAGGCACTTCCCACCCCTGCCCCAGCCCTGGTCAGACTCTCACTCCATTATTTATTTGCTCTTCTCTAGCTCAGGAAGGAAGTTCATGGCTAGAGGGCAGGGTAGCTGTGCCCTCCGTGGAGGGCTCAGAAAATCTTCCCAGCCCAGGGCCCAGCCTGGCCCTGCTGGTACCAATCCCACGTCCCAGTGTCCGCCTGCCAACATGGTCTGAGCACAGCTGATGGCTTTGCTTAAGAGCCAGGAAACTTCAGTGGGCAAGGACTGGGTCTTCTGTATGTTCTGCATGGTGCCTAGGACAATGTGGGGAGGTGCTCAATAAATATTAGTTTATGATGTTGGTGATGTTGGTGATGGTGGTGTGATAGGGATGGGGTGATGGCTAAGGGGGGTGATATGGGTGGGATGGTGATGGGGATGGGGAACTAAGGAAATGGAAATTGGAAGTGATGGAATGAGGACGGGAACTGAGATGCTAGGCATAAGAACGGAGATGGGAACTGGAATGACAGTGATGGTGGTGGGGATGAGTGGGATAAGTGGCATGCTGAGACGGAGATGGAAACTGATATGATGGGAGTGGGCATTGGGATGAGAACTGGGACAGGGGGGATGGGAAGTGGAATGATGGGTGGTGGAAATGGGGAAGACAACTGGAATGATCCTAATGGGGATGAGAATGCTAGTGGAGTGGGCACTGGGAATATGATGTTGGGGATGGATGGACACAGACATGCGAACTGGGATGACAGCGACAGTGGTGACATGCTTGAGGATGGTAAGTGGGATCATGGAAGGGTGCTTGCTGGTGGATGCTGGTGGTCTCTTAAATCCTTAGGACTCCAGGCAAGTAGGATTCTAAGCTGAAAATCTGCATTGGGAGGGGACGTTTCCTTACTGGGAGCTCTCTTCACTGATAAAATCCCAGGTCTGGAACCTTAGATCCGAAAAGAGATTAGACTAGACTTTCTAATGCTCTTCATTTTATAATGAGGAAACTGCGACCACAGGACAGCAAATGGAAGAGTTAGGATTCCATCTCAGAGCCTTAATTCTTAATTAAGATTTAATTTATTTAAATTAAGATTTCCACTGTACCAGGCTGACTTTCCATGCTTTCTGTATTGTGTGTCTGTATGACATAGACTAATACACATATATGCAGATATGTATCTGTGTATATGGGTATGTACTTGTATATATGTGCCTGTCTTTGTTGTTGTTCAGTCATTTCAGTCATGTCTGTGACCCCATTTGGGTTTTGTTTTTTTGGTCAGAGAACTGACAGTTCTTTCTCCAGCTCATTTTACAGATGAGGAAATTGAGGCAAATAGGATTAAGTGACTTGCTCAGAGTCACACAGCTAGTAAGTGTCTGAGGCCAGATTTGAACTCAGGAAGATGAGTCTTCCTGTTCTAAGCCTAGTGTCCTAGCTGCCCATGCCTGTCTTTATATGTCTCCAAATTTATTTGTGGATGTATGTGCCTGTGTGTGTAATATATGTGTATCTCTCTCTCTCTCTCTCTCTCTCTCTCTCACTTTCCCTCTTAGTCTATCTATAGTATGTATGTGTGTGGTGAGGGGGAAGGTGAGTAACATTCATCCTGGGCCATTGCCTGGAGTTGCCAGCGGTCTGATTCCCCCCTTTCCCACATGCACGAGACTCCATCAACCCCCTCCTCAGATCCTACCTCCTGGGGCTCCCCAGGACTATTTCTGATTATTAGGGTTACCGAAGTGGCTGAATCTCCTAGATGTTCTTGGGGTCTGCTCTTGGGGCCTGATTTTCTAATCTAGCTCCCAGGGAAATGATTTTGGCTGAAGCTGTGTCTGAAGTCTTCTCCCTAAGGCATAGGTTGGGAGTTAGGTGGAGATTGTAAATGGTCATATTTTCATAATGAGCATAGAAGGGTAGTATCAGGCATTTCGCTGATGAAAACTTCATCATCCACATAGGAAAAACCAAGCAGATGAAGAACGCCCAGTGTTCAGATTATGGTGTGCGTTGGAAGGATAAACCACAGAGCTTGTCCATAAGTCTATGTGTCGTGGACCAGAGATGGTGGAGATGGAGAATGAGCCCAGCTCGGAGCGAACAGGAAGAAGAAGCTGGACTGGATCGCTTTGGGGAAGCTGCAGTTACTCTAATGACTCTCAGCTCCCTAAATCCAAAACCTACCTTTTGAAAAAATTGAGTTTTTATTATTATCCTCAGTTTTTATATAACCTTTATTTCCAAATATAGCCTGCTTCACTCCTGCCTCTGTCCCTCATAACAAAGAAAAACAGCAGGAAAAATAAAATCGGTTCAGCAAAACCCATCGGCCAACAAGCATTTATTAAGCACCTACTGTATACCAGACACTAGCTAATACAAAGAAAGGCAAACCCAGCCCACGTCCCTAAGGGACTCAGTCTAATGGGAAAGACGACATGTAAACAATTAGGTGCAAGCAACATGCGGGCAGGAGAAATTGGGGTAGTCAACAGAAAGACGGCACTGAATTAAGGGGGCTCAGGAAAGACTGAACTGAGCCTTGAAGGAAGCCGGGCAGAAGAGTAGTCCAGGCACAGGGGGCAGCCAGTGGAAATGCCTGGACTTGGGAGCCGAATGTCTTGTGTCAGGGACCACAAGGAAGTGTCATGGATCCCAGATGATGTGGAAGAGGAGTAAGGTGCAAGAAGACAGGAAAGGGAGGAAGGGGCTAGATTATGACGGACTTGGAAAGGCTTTTGAAACAAGATTTTATATCTGAACCTGAAGGTAATGCAGAGCCAATGTGGTTTGGTTTTTTTTTAATAGGGAGGCAGCGTGATCAGACCTGAGCTTCCGAAAGACCCCTTTGGCAGCTGAAAGCGAAGTGATGGACTGAAGTGGGGAGAAGCTTGAGACAGAAATTAACTAAATAGGGATTATTTAGTCCAAAGGGATTATTTTGCAATAGACCTGCCTCAGGGTGGTGGTTATGTGAGTGGAGAGAAGGAGCCAGCTACGAGAGATGTCACGATAGCAGAAACAAGGCTTGTCAACAGATTGGATGGGGAGGGGGAGAGGCAGCGTGAGAGAGAGAAGTCAAGGATGATGCCTCATTTTCAAGCCTGTGTGACCAGTGGGAGACTTTGACAGGCCTAGGGAAATTAAGAAGCGGAGAAAGTTTTAGGGGAATTATAATGAGTTCAGCTTCCGGCATGTTGAATTTGAGATGCTCATGGGATACCCATTTTGAGATGTCCAAGAGGCAGGTGGTGATGCTCAGGAGAGAGGTTAGGGCTTGATGTGCAGATTTGAAGACATTTACAAAGAAATAATGATCAGGAGCTGGGTGAGATGGTAAGAGAGGGGGAAGAGAAGAGGGCAGATGCAGTGGGGGACACTGAGTCCCCTACCTCCACATGCCAACATATTCTGGTGATGGCACATGGCTTCAAGTCATGGGATGCGAGAGTAACTGAAGGATTCCAGTTGAAGGGTACTCCAAGGACAATGCAGAAACACACGGTAGGTAGGAGCAGTCTGCAACACATCTCCAGGTGGTAATGAGGAGCTCAGTGAAGGATGCCATCCCACTGACTCTCTATAGCCATCCTGCTCCATCAAGGAAGATCAAAGACAGCCTTCGAGCTCATTCTGCTCACTCATTTTACAGAAGAGGAAACTGAAACCCAGAGAAATTAACTTACCCAAGGACAAGTAGCAGAGCCAGGGTGTGGGTTCACGTTCCCTCTCTGCCATTTATACTGGCTGTGTGACACTAGCCAAAAAATTGAACCTCTCAGTGCCCCAACTCTCCAAGGCTTGGAGAAGGTGTCGACCTGCATTGGTAGAGGGAATTTCCTTACCTGGAGTTCCACAAACTGATGAAACCACAAATATTATGACAACCCCCCACCCCAAAAAAAGCAACTGATGGAGAGTGTGATCCAATAGACAGAGATGCAGCCATAAAGTCAAGAAAACCTGGGCCCAAGGACTGTCTTTGATGGGCCTTGGCCATATGACCTTGGACAAGTCACCTGTCAGCTTCTCTCTTGTCCCAGGCAGTTCTCCAAGGCTTGAAGTAGCAAAACTCTCACCATTCTGTATTGATCAAGGGAGTTTTCTCCCTGGGAGTGCTCTTCCACCAATGAAATCACAAACCTGCAGCACCCCTACCCCAACCTCATTACCTCCGTGCTAAGCTTTATTATTTCCATCGTACAGTGATAAGAACATTGGCTCTTACCAAAATTTACTCCCTCTGTGACTTCTGACAAGTTACAACATCTCTGGGCCTCATTTGTAAAACAAGGGTGTGGGGGTGGGGTGGAGGTTGGACCATATGTTTCTGAAGCCTCTTCCAACTCTGAATCATCTATCCTAGGAAAATGTCCTTGGTGCCTCCTTTAAATTCCAGTGCCCATAGGACAAAGCTCCATTTACCCAACCTTAGTTCCAGCTCTGTTGATAGGGCTGAACTGGCATCTAGCCAACGAGTGATTGGAGAAGTGGTTGCTGAGGGTCTTTGGAGGGGACCTGAGCCTGACCTTTGGAGGGGGCGAGGCAGGCAGGTGGGGACCTGCAGAAATGGGGAGGAAAGAGTTTCTTTAGAGGGAGGCTGACTACCTCCCCTGACACGTTTCCAGTTGAAGGGGGCAAACAGAGAGACTGGCAGCTTCCATTCACAGCCTTCCTGCTTACCTTTATTTAAAACAGATTTTGTGTGTGTGTATGTGTGTGTGTGTATTTAATAATGATAAAGCCCTCGTATGTCATATTTGACAGGAGGGCTTTTTCTCCCTCTCTCCTCCAACTTTAAAGCACCAGAGGGGAGTAATTAGTGTTACCCAAGTCAAAAAACAAAAGGAGTGCATCAGAAGAGACAGCCTTAAGAAACTCTCAGCTTCTAATTGAACAATTGCCTCTTATGGCCGTGAATAACTCATTATTATCACTCTAGCTGTTATTATTGTTTTAGATGAATGCCTGGAATTTTTTTTTATCAAAAGCAATTTTAAACCAAGCTGCTAATCTCCCCCAAATGCTTTCCCCCACATTCAGAGAGCCATAATGTCTCCTCTCCTCTGAAAACCATTCTGTGCCTGTTGCCGGGATAATAAGTGGGATTCTAATCATTTCTCTTGTTCTGTTCCTCGGGTTAAAAGCCTGAGGTCTTCTCTCCCCCTTTCATTGGATTCTTCTTCCTTGGATTATTATTATGATTATTTCTGACTTCCCTATGTCACAAATTGCACTAAAGAGATAAAATCTGGCTTTTTCCCTCCCCCTTCTCTCCGCCTCCTTAAAAAAAATATATAGCCAAGTCTTTGGGGCAAA